ATTCACTGCAGAAGTAAAAATAAATAAATAAAAACCTACGCGCTTACAACACTTTCGTTGGAGTGCTACTTAAAGAGTAAGATCGTACTTGCGAGTAATGACTCGTTGGTGCATCTCAAGTAACAGTAGAGCCTGAGACCGAGAGAAATAAAAACAAATTTTTCGGTTCACTACTTGAATAAAATAATAAAAAAGTAGTCCAAAAGCCTTCCTTTCACCTCGATTCACTCTTTCAATTTTTAGCTATCCGCGTAAAAATAAAATTGACACCATCCTCTGCTCCTAACTACCAAAATGGCGAGTCATGGCAAGGTGGAGACTAGCCATCAACAACCGCCTCTCTTCGCTCGACTTCAGCACAGGATCGCCGCTGGATGGAAGCGCAGTCGCATTAGTCAGCGGAGTGAATACTCCGTGGAGCGTCTACTAGCTTTTCGAGATTATCATCGGACTACCTCCGCCACCAGAGTCATTGTCGTTTGCGTTCTAGCGCCGATCCCAGCATTGCTAGTGGCTCTTGGGATTGATTGCATCCCTCTAAGACCTCCATCCGAAGGATGGCGAGCCAATTATGCCGTTTGGATTCGATTGTGTGCCGCTATGTTTTTCGAAGCTCTTGGCGTGGTATGGCAAGTGAGAGAAGTCATCATTTCAGGAACGATCTCAAATACTGGAGCTAGTATAATCGCACTAGGCACAGCCGTCAATTGTGTGCTTGTTACCATTGCAGTAGCAGAAGCGTGGAAGTTCCCCATCCCGTTTGGTTACGTGCTGATGACGAACGTGTATGTGCTGATTTTCTGCACTTGGATGATTCTGGGCATTGGCCCTCGCGTTCTAGCTAACTCAACAGTGCTACGCCAGCAAATTAAGGCCCAATTATTTATTATCGCCAATCAAGGGATTGTTGTCGTATGCTACCCCGTATTTAGCGCTGTGTTCGATCGATTGTCGGCAACACAACAAGGTTTTTTCGTCTTCTTGATGCCGATGATAAAGTTTTTTACCAAGCAGAATATCGCAAATGCAGCCAAAACTTCGCACGAGTACGTCGGACCAATCGTTGTTTTCTCCGTGGATCTCTTCAACGTGTACTACGTTGCAATCTGCATGCAATCGGCGAAATCGCTAGTTACTACGTTGGTTATCATATCAACGGACACCTTTTTCATTGTGATCGCTCTTCGCGCCATTTACAAACGAGTTAATAGTCTAGACGCAAATGACACAATATGTGAGGGCAATTATCTTCAAGCTCTACTCGGACTAGTGAGAAAAGTGTTCCAGGAAACGACTTTTTCACGCGATTCAACGCAGCGAATTCGACTTCTGGCGCCATTTCCACTTCGAATCTCTGACGAAAGCAGCGCATGCATGAAAACACTTTCGAAAACTGCGAGATTGCCTATCAATTCCCGAATTTCGACTAAATCCTCCGGGCGTCAACCCAGTAAAAACCAATCCATGACAACCATAGCAGTCTTACCGAAGAAGACTCAGGTTGCCCCAGATATCCCACATAACACACACGACCCAAAGCTAAGAGTAACACCGTCCTCTGTTGCCAAACTCAACAATATTCTGGCTTCTAAAGCCAGAGAGGAGATTGTTCATGATGCGCTGCAGTCACTTTTCCACTCGGAATATATACTACTGGCTGAATATATTGAGCTGATGGTCCCCATGCTGTATTCGCTCTACCTGGTGGTGCTGTTCCACCTCCCAGTAGCGGCCTATTATCCGCATACGGCATCGATGACGGTGTCCGATCTACAAGGGGCTGTGATGAGTATTCTGGCTTATGCGGTGATTGAGTTGGTATCATTTACGGTACTCCTGGTTCTATTGTGGCGGAAGTTTGGGTTTTCGCCGTTGTACCAGTTGGCGTTCGTGTTGGAGACGCAGGGTCCAGCCCTGCAGGGATACCTCTTTGTATGGACTATCACCATTTTGCATTTAAAACTGGCGCATTATGGTACGTGGGAGAATGGGTTTTTGCCTCTGGAATTGTACTGATCAAGTTGATATGG